CTGATACTTTCTGCTAATATTACTGAGAAGATGTTTGTCTTCTGGCAATAAATCATATTCTCTCATTTCCTTGTGTGTAAGATAGAGCTGTCCAGGGTAAGAAAGGGGTGTAGGAAATTTCTATCTTACACCCCATTTCATGTGACGTGACGTCCCAATGGCTCGACAATGACGTGAAATCACAAATTTGGAACTCTCTGATGCCGCAATGCGGAAAAGGCGACGTGATGAAATTGAAACCTTTTATGATATATTATTTACCGTACATGTAAGAAAGATGTGATTAATTTTCATGGTTTCTGAGCTTATTCTGGTGGTTGGAATGAGAGAAAATACTCTTTCATGCCCAAGGGTGCAGGATAGGGAAATTCCACCCTCGGGATTTTCAAATTTGGCAAAACCCTTGGCCCTATCCTACACCCTGAGCATGAAAGAGTCTTAAAATCCTCAAATTCTATATTTCATTATTCATATAGAAAACTATGTTTTATGATTAAATGTCAAACTTAACCATATATTTGTTAATTTGAATATTCCCAAGGAAATCCAATTCTTGATAAACTGTACTTGCAAATACGAGTGAATCTTTGGAGATGAAAGTGATTAACAGTCATTCTGTAAAAGACTTTGAGTAGGCATTGGCAGGATTGAATAGAGAAAGACTGTCATCTTAGGATGTAGAGAGAATAACAGTATTGACTGTTTGGACTTGTAATAATACACTGTTACCAGCATTACCTAAACAATCAATCTCAAGTAACAAAACAATGCTACCAAGTATTGTCTTTCTATCAATGGTTACTAACAAAACATTTATTGTAACAAATAGCAGCCTATTAATCACACTCTTGTAACAAAAATGTTATGAGTGACATTCTGTCCATCTCTCTCTCTCTAGGAATAAACTTTGTTACTAGTATTATCCAGTCAATTACTCTCCGGTAACATTGTTACCAAACCACCATACTAATCCCCCTCTAGTAGCAATCTTTGTTACCAATAAGTATCCTATTTAGACCCTCTAGTAACAAAATTTATTTCCAGTTTTATCATGTCAATCACTCTTTAGTAACCTTGTTACCAATACCATCCCATTAATAACTGTCTATTAACAAACTTTGTTACCAGTAACATCCTATTAATCACCCTCTAGTAACATTTGTTACCATGAACATCCTATCAATCCCCCTCTAGTAACAAACTTTGTTACCAGTATTACCCAGTAAATCACCCTCTAGTGACATTGTTACCATTTACATCCTATTAATCCCCCTCTAGTAACAAATTTTGTTACCAATAACATCCCATTGGGTGGTCGGGTGGTGCAGTGGATAGCGCACTTGCCTTTCACCAAGGCGGCCGGGGTTCGATTCCCCGATCGGACGTGATAGGTTGGGGTCACCTGCCCGATCACGTGGGTTTTCTCCGGGTACTCCGGTTTCCTCCCACACTAAGACCCCTCACGCACTAACATCCGGGCCAGCAAGAGTGATTAATATAAGTTGAAATAACTTGTTTCATAATTGTTGTAAAATAAATAAAGTTTATATATCCCATTAATCACCCTCTAGTAACAATCTTTGTTACCAATAACATCCTATTAATAACTCTCTATTAACAAACCTTGTTACCAATAACATCCCATTAATAACTGTCTATTAACAAACCTTGTTAACAATAACATCCCATTAATAACTGTCTATTAACAAACCTTGTTAACAATAACATCCCATTACATTAGCCTCTAGTAACAAACTGTTACCAGTAACATCCTATTAATCACCATCTAGTAACATTGTTACCATGAACATCCTATTAATCACCCTATAGTAACAAACTTTGTTACTAGTATTACCCAGTCAATCACCCTCTGGTAACATTGTTACCAATAACATCCTATTAATCACCCTCTAGTAGCAATCTTTGTTACCAATAACATCCTATTAATCACGCTCTAGTAACAAACTTTGTTACTAGTATTACAGTAAATCACCCTCTGGTAACATTGTTACCATTAACATCCTATTAATCACCCTCCATAACAACTCATGTCCTCAATTTGTCTGGCCATTACCAACATTTCAATATTCCTGCTGTTCTGAATAAATCTGTATGCATCCTGAAACACTGCTGTCCTTCGGGTGTAATTGGCTTAAGGGAGCCACTACATGGACAGACTCCCAGAGGACGGCACCGGACAATATTTGTTGAGAAATATTGGTTTCCAATATAGAAATGTGATGAATTAATAACACAAGATCCAGGACTGTTTGCGAAATATCTCCAGGATTATTCACATTTTATCAGATGTATATTTCATAAATCACAGACAGAACCTCTATATTTGGTTAGACAGCAGACATAACATATTAATCCTGAGACTAGCCATGTACCCTTTGTCAATATTTAACGCCACAGATACCACATGACAGCTAGTGTCTTTCAGCTAGGTGCTTGCAATTTTAGTAATGTGATTTCTTCTTTACAGCCAAAAGGTTATCAAGAAGCCATATGACAAAAGTTTTAGATTTACATGAATTATGTATATATCATTAATTTATTATTTTCTTGTGAAAGAAGTCTTCATCTGTCATGTTGCCATAAAGTAATTCTGGCACGGAAGTTGAGGCTGATGCAGGACTGAACTTTAGTCTGACCCTGTGTATTTCACCGAAATCCTTATATCAGTTTCTATTCCCAACAATGTGAGTAGACTTCCTGTGGCAGCAGATAGACAGGACCTATCACTACAGCAAGATAAAGCATCACACCCTAAATCTGGTTTTACTCAACTTATAAGGAACAGAAGCTTCTTTATGTTAATAAACATTCCTTTTAATCAGTCTTTATTGTCAGAATATCTTTTTCATACAATCTGAATGGAACATCTATTCAGGTTGAAACAAAGACATTGAGTTATATATGGAAATAATTTAGTGTGTAAAAAATACAGTATACGTATAATTTCCTCGTGAAATTTATTCATGAACATATGTCAGCTAAAAATAAAAGGATATCCATCACTTCAGCATCACATGTTACACATATACACTGATGACCAGACTTTAGGTAAACATTACAAAACAGGCAATAACTAATGGTGCTTAGGATACAAAAAATACTACATGTATGTTCCTGGTGCGGAAATATGAATGTTTCCAATCACTTTATTACTTAAGCCTTTGAGACGTCCTGCCTGCATGATCATCATCCAGGACGATATCCATCTCAATGGTACTAACAGGTACAACCCTAAATCCACTCCTAGATCATCACTGACCTCTTAGTACGGCTATATATAAAGACGTATAAATAAAGCAAAACACGAAGACTAGCATATATATACTTACAAACAGGTCACATTTAAATAACTAACAGTCAGTTAGTGGTCCTTTTTCAATTAATAACACATGACAATATACGTTCTTAGAAGACAGGAAACATATAAACTGAATACAAGAAATCTGCCCGCCCTGTATCAAATATGCACAGGAGTTCTCCTTACAACATGTAGATAATGAAAAGAGAATCCCTACCTCCACCCCTGTATATGATAAGGACAGGCTCAGGTCCACCACCTGTATATAATGTAGACAGGAGACCCCCCCCTCCCTGTATATAATGTAGACAGGAGATCCTCCCTGTATATAATGTAGACAGGAGATCCTCCTCCCTGTATATAATGTAGATAGGAGATCCTCCCTGTATATAATGTAGACAGGAGACCCCCCCTCCCTGTATATAATGTAGACAGGAGATCCCCTCCCTGTATATAATGTAGACAGGAGACCCCCTCCCTGCATATAATGTAGACAGGAGACCCCCCCCCTGTATATAATGTAGAAAGGAGACCCCCTCCCCGTATATAATGTAGACAGGAGACCCCCCCCCTGTATATAATGTAGACAGGAGATCCTCCTCCCTGCATATAATGTAGACAGGAGACCCCCCCCCTGTATATAATGTAGACAGGAGATCCCCCTGTATATAATGTAGACAGGAGATCCTCCTCCCTGCATATAATGTAGACAGGAGACCCCCCCCCTGTATATAATGTAGACATGAGATCCCCCTCCCTGTATATAATGGAGACAGGAGATCCTCCTCCCTGTATATAATGTAGGCAGGAGATCCTCCTCCCTGTATATAATGTAGATAGGAGATCCCCCCTGTATATAATGTAGACAGGAGATCCCCCCCCCTGAATATAATGTAGACATGAGATCCCCCTCCCTGTATATAATGGAGACAGGAGATCCTCCTCCCTGTATATAATGTAGACAGGAGATCCCCCTCCCTGTATATAATGTAGACAGGAAATCCCCTCCCTGTATATAATGTAGACAGGAGATCCACCACCTGTATATAATGTAGACAGGAGACCCCCCCCCTGTATATAATGTAGACATGAGATCCCCCTCCCTGTATATAATGGAGACAGGAGATCCTCCTCCCTGTATATAATGTAGACAGGAGATCCACCACCTGTATATAATGTAGACAGGAGACCCCCTCCCTGTATATAATGTAGACAGGAGATCCTCCCCCTGTATATAATGTAGACAGGAGTTCCCCCTTGACTATAATGAAGACAGCAAATACCCCCAGTATATATAATACATCCCTGAGTTTATAATATATATACAGATCCCCTTGTTTAAAGAAGACTGCTCAAGCTGCCAAAACATTAAATTAAAATATATCACTTGAGTTTTTTTAGACATGGATAAGTGAGTATGTTTACAAGTTTTGATTAAAATGTATCAGTGCATATCAGAATAATTTATTTCTGACATCCAGGTATGTCCGCCCTGTCGTTCGATGTGTATACTCTCTGTCTAGGATGCACTGATAACTCTAAAACACTGATACATTTATGTTGTATAAAGCCCTCCGATGTTTGGCCTGTAGCTGGACCCATGTGTTGGGCTATAAGTCCCCTATCTGTTACCAGATACTGGAACTGCAGCCATCACTGGGAAGTAAATATTGCTACTTACCTGGTGTTTAATCTGTTTACAGCCTTATGTAGTCCCGCATCACTAAAAACAGAGATGGTTTTAGCTCACCAGCCTCACAAATTGTTAATCTGAAAACAACAAGTATAAAAAGAGTCTAAATCACTGTTGGCAGCAATTAGAGGTCATGTGGCCATCGATGAAACTACAGCCATACCCCAACAGTGATTAACTGTAAGTAATGGATTGGGTGGTGGACCTAATCACTGTGAGCAGGCAATAGGGTCTGTATACCTACACTATACATGCAGTTAAAGTGATTCTAACCTTAACAACTTACAATATACTTAAGGCTACTGTAAATTTGGAAACCTTTTGATAATAGAATCTATAAGGCATTACAATTTTGATCAAAATGCACGTTTCTCAAAAGCTCTAAGTAATGTTTACAGATTACAGTTCATTAGAAGTCAGAGGGTACATAATTTGTCATACACCCAATTTAAACTGTAACTATTTACATACCAGACATGTTAATGCCGAGATAAAACATTGTACATCTGCTGTACATCAGCACAGTGTGTGGCTGCGAAACCTAGCCATTTAAAAACTATAAATACATATTAAAGATATTTTTAGAAATTAAAATCCATAGTGCAACAAGATCTAATTTGCATCAATATTATTTATGTACAAAGCATCTAATCCTCCTAATAAATTAATATTTTGTATCATATTTTCCATTAAACTTGACCAAAACCACTGTAACAGAGAATAGGGCCAGCACAGGATTCAAACCTGGGACCTCCGATCTGTAATTAAGCACTGTAGCCTATCAAGCTAACCAGTCATCAACATACCAAGCCTTAAGTCCTTCTGCACAACTGTATCCCCTAATTTATACATGTACCTACATTCAGACAGACACATAAAAGAACATTACTTGTATATAATCAGACTGTATGAGTATGCTAACGTATTCATGTACATAATAAGATAGCGAAACCTCTTACACTTGAAGTCGTTACAGCCATGACAAAACTTGCTGGATTTAATGGGGTAGGAGTCATCATAACAATGACAAAACTCAGAGGCTGAAATGGGGCAGAAGTAATAACAATCATGTGACAAGACACCTTAACAGGTTTAAATGGGGTAGGAGTTAACATGTAGCAATAAAACTGGAATAACTGACTTACAGATGGAGGGGAATTCATGATAGATATCCTAGTCTGTAACTAGACACGGTATATATCCTACCTGTATTTACACTGTGCATGTGCCTAGTCAATGACTGCGGTACTGTAAGCACCACAATTAGCATGGTAATTGCCTGTACTAGTGCAGTACCAGTGATGTAAATAGCGGTGATGTAAATAGCTTGGTGGTCAAACTGACCACATCAGATAACTAGAACAAGATGACCTAAACATATACTACTGAGAGGAGTATAACCCATGGCCATTGTTTATATAAAGCTAAAGAGATATGTTACACTGCCAGCAGCTACAGGTACAAATCTACACTGGGCAATAAACTACAGTAGGACTCAAAGTCAGTGGAGACCATAAACTTTCAGAGAACAAGAGGTTAAGATATAAAAAAAATATCCATCAGGACTATATAAGTAACAGAAGATTGATGATAATTATCTCACAGTAAAAGGAATTTATAATTACATTCTGTCTTCGTTATTGTTATATCACGGTGTGCGGTCACCCATATTATTGTATGATAAAGGATTACAAAAGCACGTTATAAGAACAATGTACTCATACTTAGATTTAATACTATGATATAGTGTTCTGGAATTATGTAAGAAATTGATTTGTTTGTCCTCTATTGTTGCCAGGTTGCTCCACACAGACATCTTATCAATATTGTATGTGGGACAATGGTTTTAAGTCCCGTCAAAGATCTGTCTGACAGGTAACCTATGGGCACAACACAGCAACATGTAGGCATAACATCCTATCCTCATCAAGGCGTTGTCAACATTTCATTCTCACCAAAGTGATCGTGTAACACTCTTTCTTCATCAAGGTATGAACACATCATCTTAACCTCATCACAGTGTGGGCAAAACATCCCACCCTTATCAAAGTACGGACACAATGTCCTAACCTTTGTCAAGTGCAAACATATATAACATCCCAACCTCACCAAATTGTGGGAATAACAGCCGAACGTTATTAAAGTATTGACACAACAGCCAAACCTCACTAAAGTATGGAAATAGCATCTTTATTTATACTCTCATTTGAGTGTGGGCATAGCATATAACCCTCATCAGAGTGTGGGCATAACATCTTACTCCCATCAGAGTGTGGGCATATCATCTTACTCTCATTAAAGGGTGGGCATAGCATCTTACCCTTATCAGAGTGTGGGCATAGCATCTTAACCTAATCAGAGTGTGGGCATAGCATCTTATCCTCACTAGAGTGTGGGCATAGCATCTTACCCTCATCAGAGTGTGGGCATATCTTTATTAATACTCTCATTAGAGTGTGGGCATAGCATATTGCCCCCATCAGAGTGTGGCCATAGCATCTTACTCTCATCAGAGTGTGGGCATAGCATCTTACTCTCATCAGAGTGTGGGCATATAATTTTACCCTCATCATAATGTGGGCATATTATCTTATCCTCATCAGAGTGTGGGCATATCATAATACCCTCATCAGGGTGTGGGCATAGCATCATTCTCTTATTAGAGTGTGGGCATAGCATCTTACCCTAATCAGAGTGTGGGCATAGCATCTTACTCTCATTAAAGGGTGGGCATAGCATCTTACCCTTATCAGAGTGGGGCATAGCATCTTACCTTTATTAGAGTGTGGCCATAGTTTCTTACCCTCATCAGAGCGTGGGCATAGCATCTTACCCTCATCAGAGTGTGGGCATATTATCTTACTCTCATCAGAGTGTGGGCATAGCATATTACTCTCATCAGAATGTGGGCATAGCATCTAACCCTCATCAGAGTGTGCGCATATCATCTTACTCTCATTAGAGTGTGGGCATAGCATCTTACTCTCATTAGAGTGTGGGCATAGCATCTTACTCTCATTAGAGTGTGGGCATAGCATATTACCCTCATCCAAGTGTGAGTATAGCATCCTTCTCTTATCAGAGGGTGGGCATAGCATCTTACCCTAATCAGAATGTGGGCATATCATCTTACTCTCATTAGAGCTTGGGCATATCATCTACCCTCATCAGAGTGTGGGCATAGCATCATTCTCTTATTAGAGTGTGGGCATAGCATCTTACTCTCATTAGAGTGTGGGCATAGCATCTTACTCTCATTAGAGTGTGGGCATAGCATCTTATCCTCATTAGAGTGTTGGCATAGCATCTTACTCTAATCAATGTGTCTGTAAGCATCTCACTCACCAAGGTTTTAATTTACACTGACATCAACAGTTTTGCTACTACAGAACATTTATAATCGATGTATGAGTATTATATAGCCTACTCCCATTATATGTGGACTTTATAAGATGTGGACACAATGTCATACATGTGCCTTCCTCAGGGTGTGTACACTGTCGCATTATCCTTACTTCATCAATATATGGGCACAAGTGCATTCTGTCATCATATCAGGGGACAAGAGTGTACCCTCATCAAAATGTGGGAGGAAACATACATTGTTTAAGATGTAGACACACTATCTTACCCTTCCAAAGCCTATTTTTATCATATGAACATTGAGGTATCTGTCATTTACTCTCTCATTAAGGTGTGGACAAAACAGACTACCCTCATTAAGGTGTGGACACCATAAATACCCTCATTAAGGTGTGGGCATCATAAACTACCCTCATTAAGGTGTGGACAAAACAGACTACCCTCATTAAGGTGTGGGCACCATAAATACCCTCATTAAGGTGTGGGCACCACAAACTACCCTCATTAAGGTTCGGACTCCATATACTACCTTCATTAGATGTGGGCACCACAAACTACCCTCATTAAGGTGTGGGCACCATAAACTACCCTCATTAAGGTGTGGGCACCACAAACTACCCTCATTAAGGTATGGGTACAATATACTGCTTTCATTAAGGTTGGGACACCACATACTCCACTCATTAATATGTTGGAAGCTATATATATATGCTTCCCTAAACAAGGTGTGGACAAGTTATATGAAAGACACCATATTTATCTATACACACGAATATATATCGTTGACAGTAAATCTTCTGTAGATTAAACCTTTGAGTGTTGTATTAACTACAACAAACTCACACCACCGGTTCAGTATGTATGCCCAGTACAATAACCTGTTCTCAATGTAATGTGGCTATAAGACATCCTACAAAACAGCAGTCCTTCACTAGAAACTCCCCTGGGAGGCTGGGCTTGTTCACATACACTTACCCTTTTTTATTTTATACTGCATAGTGTAAAACAGTAAAATGAAGCCATGTACAGAAGATGGCCTTCTTTTTCAATGTCACCGCTGTATCCAGTTGCTAAGGTGAACTACCTGTGTTTTATGTGGTTTTGTTACAGTCACCAATGAAGGAGTGACAAATACAAATATTCATAATTTGTGTCTAAGAAAGGTCATAGATGAAAACTGTGAACTCAATTTAAAACAACTTAATAGTAAAATGAGGAAGCAAACATGCAATACTTCCTTTTCATCCATTCCCAACATAATTACTACCTTTAGAGGTACTGATAAACTTCCAGGTACAACCTAATTACTACCTGTACAGGTACTGATAAACTTTCAGGTAAAACCTAATTACTACCTGTACAGGTACTGATAAACTTCCAGGTACAACCACTACCTGTACAGGTTCTAATAAACTTCCAGGTAATGCTCATAGAAAATTACAACAAGTGTTACCTAAAGTTTGATCCCAGAGATTAAATTTCAGTCTTCGAAAGTCACTGGGTGATAAGCTTATAGTACATTTTGTAGGAGAATGAATGCATAGGGGCCACTAACACACAAGCCTAGCTAGCTCACATAATACACATGAATGTACTGGTGATGGTGGCACCCATTACGATGTATCTGTAACATCGGATTAGGTATCCTCTTAACAATAGTGTATAAGGAAACACATCTGTGAGGTGTCTTCCCATGCCAGTCACTCCTTAAACA